CCTAATTGGCATTAAGTAATGGATTGCATCTATCTAGGTAATTGTTGCAGTTGTTATTAATTTTAAGGCAGTTACATTATGAAGCAGAGTACATGATCCTTGGATGGCATCTTAGAGCTTCAGCGCCTAGCAACTGGTGAACCAGACCGCGATCCAGGTCGGGACCCAGAGCCTCCCTGTGGAGGGAAGAACAGAGTTAAGTTAATTAAAAGGTACTGCATATTTGGGGCTATAAATTGAAAAACATCAGTCTGTAGTACCACAGAATTTTAAATATTATCTAATGAAAATGTCTTGCAGCGGTCTCTAGTATATTGCTGAATATCAGTAGAATTTTCACTTCAAAGAGATGATTGCTTTTCATATATTTTCACATGGGATTAATTTACTCATTAAATCTCTCATACAGGGCTAGGCAATCTCTCATGAATTATTTGTAGGTGCATGTTCTTATACAGGCCTTCCTAATGAAAGCAATTTATGTACTTGTACACCCTGGAAATTTTCATTTTTATGTCTACCCTGAACTGTTTGTGTACTTTAAAACAAGGAAAAAAAAAAAAGGAACATGAAAACCAAAAAAAATGCAGACCTTCCATACCCGCTGTAATAGTCTCACAGCTGAAAGAACTGAAATGTAATCATTTTATTCTGTCATGTTTATTGAGGTAAATTGTTAATGTAGTTATATCAACACCAGTCGTGTGGAAAGCTCAGATGCAAATACAGGAAAAAACTAAGAAAAGGGTTGAAACCTGGGCTATTTTTACAAATAATAAGAAAACATCAAACTAGGGGAAAAAAAAAAACATTATGACAATTCATAAATCTGCAGTTGATAAAAGCCCTACAGCAGTTTTATAGCAAAGATGATCCAAGCTGAAATTTTTGGAATTTAAGCTTAAGCTAACTGGGTACCTTTTCCTGAGGCTTTAGTAACTTTCTAGGCAAACCTTGAACAATACACTAAGGCCACAAATCTGAGATAGTGTGATAGTTGTTACTGCAATAAGTTGATGACTGAACTGTTTACTTTTTTAAAAAAAAGCTATGTGTTTATTTATATTCTTCTTCTCATCTTTCAGTGTTCCCTCCTTAGTTTTATTGCGCTGTTTCAAGGAAAATTTAGTGTAATCCCTTAGGTAATTGGCTTCTTTCTTTCAAAGTGTAAAAGACTGTTAAACTATACAAAGAAATATTTATTAATGCCTTCTGCTATAATTAGTGGGTCTAAATCAAATGGGCCCGAATAAAACTCTGAGTTCCAAAAGTTACAATGGCTTGGAAAGCCTATGTAAAAAGTAGAGCTGGTATACGTATACCATCATATATATATAAATGCAAGCTAAAATAGTTGTGAAGTTTATGTAAAAAATAGAATGTTAAATTTTGGGAGAGATTATTATTGAATATTTTCAGATGTTCAAAAAAAATTTTACAAATAATATCAGTGTATAGCCATGGTATTCTTGATGCACCTGAACTCCACTAAAAAGCTAGACGTGCACAAGGTGAAAATTAGACTTAATAGGTAAATGTCTGATTTTCACCTGGGCCTCTGAAGAGCTCATTCCTTTTCTTAAATTGCAACATAGGAATTCTTACTACCTCCTTAAAGTTTTAAAGCTGTCACTTGGTGCTGCATGTTTTAAAAACAGCTCTACAATGAAAGGTACATATCCTAAACAGTGTAAGAGACAAAAATGTATTTTTGCTACAGGTGAAGGTGCTACCGTGTCTCCTGTTACAGAGAAGAGTCGTAAGAGTCTGAGATGATCAGCTTTGCTAATGGGATCTCAGACCTTCTGTCTTGAAGTTAAGATTACTGCTGATTGCAGTCATCATGTGCAAATAGTATACTAGGTGATTTGTTACAGGTGAATCCTTCACTACCTTTGAGGTAAAATACAGTCTTGGTTAAAGTAGCTGCCAGTGGATATGACGTGCTTTTCACCTGACATAGAATGTGAAAAATCCTCACGACCGATGTTTTTTTCCTGTTCTTTTTTCATTTATTAGCTGTGTTGGTGGGGCTGTGCCGTGACTCGAAATGGTGAACTGAACCAGATGATTAAAAATAATCTGATCAAATGTTTGTTTTTCATATGACACAGTTTTCTAATTTGCCCTACTATGTGGTGTTGCAACTCACTGTACTGACATATTGTAGGAGTTCTCCCACCTGGGGTGGGAACAAGCAGGGACTCTTCAGGTTGTTACGGCATGTCAACTGAATACATGTCCCACACCGCCCTGTTGTGCTACCATTCTGCAGCTTGTCAGTTTGCTTTCAGTTTCAATATTCTAAATAATGTAGCAGCAGCAGCAAGCTGTGTCACCTCATTCATATTCTGTGTTCCAGGTCATTTGTGAGTTCAGTAACAAAACAGATCCTGGTGTGGGGCTTCGTGGACTTACCTTCTTTCCTGATGGTGACTGACTGTGTATTTTTACCTTTGTTTCCTACCATGTAAGTATTTACTAGGCCATGAGATAACCTTCTGTTTTATCCATGTAAATCTAGTTCCTTCAGAAGCTTTAAGGAAATGTGGTTGTTTCAAACATGGCAGGTTCTGGAGAGGTTTGGCTTCTTTTTCCTGAACTCAATTTTTTGCACTTAGAGTTAAGTTCAATTGTACTTTACCAGTTTAAAGATTTTGGAAAGAGTGCCCTGGCCCTCATGATAGGATCCCTTATGTCCCTTGTGAGTAGATTTATGCTCATAGAATTTTCCGCTTCCTCCATATCCTGGCTTGTGTCCTTCACCACCCTGCAAAGAAAAATTTTCATACGTATTGCAAATTACCACATTCACGTTATCATATGCACATTGTAATCTTTGTTTGTGATCACTGAAATATAATACTCAAATGAGAAACGTAGAGATGTTGGAATAAAATGATCTTTTATGAAATAAAGGATGAAGGAAAATGTGAGGAAATGATCTGAATATACTCAAATCTGAGGGAAGCACCAATCTGTAAAAGACGAATTAATAATAAAAAATTGGGTACTCAGAAGGTGAACCTGTGAGACAAAACTTAAAAAGTTTCAATTTCATGAGTTCTAAGATGTCAAACACATCAACTAATTTGTGTTCTTCTGATAGTAAAAGAAATGCTTAATGGCTTGAAGGCTTTAATATTTTGTCTTGAATTTTAAGTGATTTACATGTCCATCTCTTTTAAAATCAAACCTGTGGTAGAGAAGTAGAATTTAATTAGTTGTGAGATACTGCGGGAAGAACTTGTCTAATAACTGTTTAGGCAGATCACTTCTTACTGAAAGGGGTTCCAAGGAGAGGTGGGACAAAATAGTTGAATTAGTGACAGTGTTAGCTTTGCAGACTTTACTGTATAAGAGCAATTGGAACTGTGGAATAAGTGCCCATCTCAACCTTCCCTCCCATTTTTGTCCCTCTCAGGAAAATAAAAATGCAGATGAGTCTTCCAGGAGTCTTTAAGGGAAGAGAGCTTTGCCATGCAGTGGATTTTGCTCCCTTTGTGCTAAAGCAAAAGAAATTATTGCTGCAAGGCTGTCAGGTTGCTGGATAAGAGCAAGCAACAAAAGTACCACCTTAAAGTGCTGTGGGAGGAGGAAGGAAAGTGGAACAGGAGAAGCAAAATAGCAAAATTGAGACAAAAGAAAATTATCACGTTGCTGCAGTAGCTTGAGGCAATGGAGCAAGATATGCTTTGGCCTGGTAAATAAAATGACTGTTACTGAAAGCACATTCATCACCTACCCAGCTAAATCTGGTGAGGGATAATCCTCTTCCCTGTACATGCAAGAAATAGAAATAATGACATGATGATCACTATGGAACATAACATTTTGGTGTACCATACACAGAAGATGATGAAAATGCCACAAAAATAATGAAATACTGGCCAGATAATGAGGCAGGACTTGAGAACAATGATATGTACAGTCATTCCATGAAACAAAAAAGGCAAAATTCTTTATTATAATTACAAGAGCTGACTTCACTACCATGGCTTGTCACTGCTATGTACTTTAGAACCCAGCTGAGCTTAGTTATGTAAGGACAGTTCCTGGTGGGTGAGGCTTGTTTGATAGCATTACTTATTATTGGTTTATTACATAAAGCAATCACAGCATAAATAGAATATAAAATTTCTTGCAAATTGATTTAATTTGCCTTGTGGCGAGTCAGGAAGTGCATGAGGAAGAGAACCATGGCTTTTCTGTCTTACTCTCTTGCTTTAAATATTCCCAGTGATAACTCTAGATTTTTACTTAGTGCCATTAAACAAAATGAATCAGGCTGGCAGTTGAATTGGTATAAATTAGCCAACGAGATCTTGGACATTGCTCGAGCCCCTGAAAACACTTACCTTTGCTTGCATTGGGGGAGGTGTACGGGGTGAGACCTAAAAATCAACACAAAGAAGTTGTAAAACCAGGGCTAAAATAAATGTAGGGAACCATCAAGCCTTTTGCGTATTATCTATGAGTTAGTAGGATTAAATACTTTCTAAGTGCTTGTACCGAGAAGCTCCTTTGCCATCTTAGGCTTTGCCTAGAACACAGTTTTTAAACAGAAAACATTCCTTAATAGAGCCACTGCTGAAGACACAGGGACAAAACCTGTCAGTGGTGAAGCTGTATAATTGTAATGGTTGTTGTTGAAATTTGACTATGCTAATGGTGGGTTCACCTACTTTTATTGTAGCATTTCAGTATTGTTCGTGTTTTCAGGCAAAAGTTACTTTTGTGTTTGAATGGCATGATGAGCTCAATGGCATAGTACAAGTCACAAGGCTCCAAAGAATGGCTGATGATTGGGGAGTATTTGGTTACTGGTGGATCCAAACGAAAGTATTCCGTTTTAGTGCATAGCAAGAAGAGAAAAGACTTACAATGTTCTTGAAGAAGTGGACTACAGGGTTGTCATCACCAGGCCGGCCATGCTGAGATCTCTGGGGGATGGACCCTACGTGGTGGCTAGCCCTGGCTGCATGTATATCCTGAAAAGCAGAATAGGCACATGGCCAAGTCAGCCAGGAAGGAAAGATAAACGGTGACTGTATGAAGAGTAGTTTTGACCAGGGATGAAAAGAAGAGAAAAATGCCTTGGAAATCTACCAGGATTGCAACCAAAAGTTGTCACTGCTGTGGAGGAACAATTTTTTAATACAATGGCAAATACAGAGTATGTATATGGACATATGTTGTGCATATATATATATATATATATATATATAGGGGTGTACGTGTCTTTAATGTTACAGCCCAGTGTGGCTGTTACTGGAAAGTTCTGATAACAGAAACCTTGTAATTTTCCTTCTTTCATAAGTAGGACTGTAGAATGTAATTTTAGAAATGAAACCTGAAACGGAGGAAAACTTAAAATGCTGATGGATCATTCTCTATGTGAGAGCAGGAATGGATTCTGTACCATTTCTCAGTTCCCAAAGACTATATAACACTGAACTGCAAGAACAACATTTTTTTTAGAATGAGGGAATCAAATGAGAATGAGACTGACCATACTTCCTATTTTCAGCTGGACTTCCTGAGCAATACAGAAAGAAGTCTAGTAAGTGAAGGTAAAATAGATAACAAAAATAACGCATTGTGAAGAGTGAATAAAATGACTGGTACTTAGAGCATGATGCATCTGTTGCAGTGAAAATGGGGTCAAAAATGCAGTGTTGTTACTGCTGTGTGGATGCAGTATGACAAAGTTTATAAAAGAACTGTTACATGTGACTGACCCAGTTACAGATGTCTGCCCATCACTGCAAATGAAGAGGTAAAAGGCTTCATGCTCAGTGCAACAGATCTGAAGTATGTCCAGTGGGGAACAGAGATGGTGGGAGAGAATGAGAGTAGCAGTGCCACAGTGGTTCTCTTAGTGTGGTGAATGCCCTGAGAATACAACGATGTTAGAAATATCATGTGAATACTAAAATTTTCATTGGCCTCTAAAGGGGAAATGGAAAACCATAGTGAAACAGTAGCTTGTATAAGCACTTCCCTAATAGTATAAACTGAATGAACATTTGACTGTAGAACAGTATGAATAGTTACTTAACAAATACTTTGCTTTCATCACATATAGAAAAACATTGACCAATTGCCAGGGAAAAAGCTTAGTCTGATTGTTGGAGCAGGACTCCTTTCTCAGGAGCAGTCTTGTACGTTTTGAGAAATAGATTGATACCTATAGAACAGATTTGCAAAGGTTTGAAGAGTCTTTTTACAATTTGAGTGAAATCTTGTGACATCAGTAGCTTTCAGAATGACGCTGACTGCCCCAAGCTATTACCCCTGAAAATGGCTGTGCAGAGATTTCCAAGTTCTAAGACTCTTTAATAAAAGGTCCTATGAAACCATCTAGTGTTACTTCTCAAAGCTGCTGCATGGAAATTTTATTTTTAAGTGATTGACATCGGATCTTGTGTTCTTATGTGAATTAAATGGATATGCATTATGTTGGATCATGCAGAATGAGATGAAATATCCATCTTCATGAGTGGCCTTTTAAGTTACGTAATTCTGAGGAGAAATTAAATTCAGATATCTTGTTTAGAAGATTAATTTCCTTAGGATAAAAAAATTAATCAATGCAGAGAAGTTCCACTGGTACTAGTATAATTTTTTGCATGCCAATAATATGTAGAGATTTACTGTTTAAAAAACAGGATTTTCTGATTTTTATTCTATCTGTGAGATTTTTATGGTCCTGCTTATACTTCAGCAGGTTCTATTTTGTCACTTGTTCAGTGTTGCCAAAATATCCCCTGCTGTCGTGATTAAGAAGAGGGAGCCAGTAAGGTATCAGCCCGTGTTTAGAACAAGTTACTTCAGCCATGTGTTTGTCTAGTTAATCGATGTTCAAATGAAGCATTGCTTTGCCTCTGGAACCATCTGGCTGCCTTGTCTTTAGGATAAACACCATGATAAATACCATGGTGTTGCAGATCTGAACATCCCCTTCTAGCAGCAGGGACTGGTTGCTATCTAACTGCAGAACTATTGCAGTATGTGAAGGAGAAAAAAAAAATCAAAATCAGACTTGATTGCATGCAGCCTGCAGCCCTGCAGCGGGCTAGGTTTTTACAGTTTAGATGGAGGTTGAGCTTCCTGAATGTAGCATTCTGATCAATTATTAGGTGCTAATAATCTGACTGACTGAAAAAGTTATTGTGTAGAACATACGTATTTTCCTCTGTCTGTGGTGCCAACTGTCAGCATACTCGTTGACTGGGTGTGCTTTTAAAGCTTACTGGGAAGTAGCAAAGTCTGAAGGCATTTTTAATTATGGTTCTGTACGAGTTTAATAGCATGGTTTTCCCAGTGTTACAAGTGCTTTCCTTCCATATTATCAGCAGGCTTCATCTGCGGTCAGAATCTTCCATATTCTCAATTTGTGGCAGTTAATTACACATTTCCCTTTCATTTATTAGTAGAAATACTGTTCCACCTGTAGTTTATTCTTCCAGTTTTTGGATTTCTAGGGGCCAGGGTGGGGGGGAGGGTCAAATTCCAGTGCTTTTTTTCTGAGATTGCTCATATGCATGATTTATGAAAATCATTTCCCGCAGAAGAGTTAAAACATATCTGTAGATGTTAGAAGTTACATTTGCATGGAGTCAGGCAATTCTTTGCTGAGTGAAAGAGAAACCAAATCTGGTTTATCTTGCTAGGATGAGCTGCTGACGTGGTGTTTTATAATTGGACTTTTTTGAATGACCTTATCTAGGCACTGCACATTTCACTAATGCATTCAGAAGACCGCCATTTATTTTTAAATATGCTTTAAGTGCTTGAGAAAAAAAAAAAAAAAGCATTAAACTTAAAAGCTAATAGGAATGCAGAAGAGCCACCATGTTGTAGGAATGGGTGACATTTACTTGTTTCTTTGCGTTACGGGTCTCTGTCACGCGGCAGCTGCAGCGAGCTCCCCCCACACCTCCTGCAACGTTGTCATGACTTTCAGTCTCGGGAGCATTGCCAATAAAAAGCAAGCTCGGCTTCACGTCTATATATTATGCAATGTACTTGCAAAGTATAATCTTGAATTCAGAGCCCTTGGGTGGTGGTTGTGAATTTGAAAACAGAGATGCCTCAGTTTGTGCCTCTAAAATTCCAACTTCTAAGAGTTCGTAGTTGGGAGCAGGCTTTCCTTCAGAAAGATAGGACAGAGGAGAACACTCGGGTTTTCACTGTTCCCAGTTTACTTTTTGTTTGACCTTAATAAAGGTTCCCTACTAAGTCAACGCTGATGTACATGCAAAAAAGCCAAAAAGGAAAGATCCCTTAATCTGGATAATTTTATTTGTTAGAAAATGTTTGCCAATACTGGAAGTTTTAGCAGTGTCTGGGAGATCTGATGACACAGACACAGTTTGCAACTTCACTGTGAAATTAATAACTTCCAGGATTAATAATGTAAATAAGAACTCTCTTAAAAATATATGTAAAGTACCCACAGTTATTCTGTAAAGGGGAGGGATTAAGTATTGTAATCCTTTGCAGCTCTTCCTGGTGATACACAGGAATGTTGCATTATTTCACTGTGACACCTACCTTATGTATTTTGGCCACTAACAAAAGAAGGAAAGAGAATAAGTTTCAATATAGTGCAAAGAAAACATACAGGTATTTTACCTCTTAATAGTAGCTATACTTTGCCATTGCATTACCTGTGTTAGCCATGTACTTTCACATAAAACAAATTTACTGGCACAAACTGTATTAATATTTTGAGAGAGCTGTTGGAAAAAAATAAAATGCTGTTTCTCTAACAACAGTAACAAGAATCCATACATAATTCAGTATGTGTTCCATTCTGGGTTTTGTGCAAGATTATTATATTTCCAGTTGAGGTGAAGATACCCGAGTATATGGCCTTCAGTAGTCCGAGACAGCAGGCTTAACCAAGTCTCCTTGTATTTTCTGTGGCACTAAATAATGGTTAAGGGGTGTTACTGCCTGTACTGTAACTCTACAGGAGACTAGAGAAGAGGGGTCTTGTGGTTTTTGATAAATGGAGCAGGCGCTTCTGGTTTGTACATTTGGACACCGTGTTTGATAATCCAGGTTTGTGATTGTACGTGCATCTCTATTTGGGGGATTAAATTAATTTTCATATAAACATTATTGCAGTTATGTATTTTACGTGTCCTACTTGACTTTGTTTTCAGATTTGATGCGTAAGTATAAAAAATGTGGTTAAGCAGTAGCAGACATTTTTTAGTGATATGAGAACCCACGAAATACATATCTGACTTTTTGCTTGGTATAAACATGGTATGTTAGATCTTACAACTTGCACTCATTAATGGGGACATTTAAACGCACATTATAAGATCTCACTGAGGGCTTTCATCTTCTGCAAGAGGATTGCTTATAACTGAAGGTCACATATACACATAAATACAAACTTAAAGCTCTAATTCCCCATCAGTAAGTAATAGGCGTTAGGAACAATAATAGTATTAACATATTTTTCATTTGGAATACTAAATTTATATCTTTTTCCCAATTCCTTTCAGTATCTTTATTATGTGTTTTTTTGTTGCATACTTTAGGATGTGAAATGAAAATCTAAAGAATGTCACACATCGTTCCTGCAATGGCAAAATCCAAATACATATGAAACATCAAACTAGCTGATTTTAAATACGATCAAGCCAAGTAAGTATTTTTGACATCAGTAAGAATGAAAAACAATGGGCATTTTCATTGTTTCGGTGAGTTTTGTGGTTTCCGTGGGATTGTCTTCACATGATACCTAATTAGCTGCTGTGCATGAATTTAAAAGAAATCATGCAAAATCTACAAATCTCAAATTCCTATAGATATGAAAAGCACATTAAGATTGCCTTAGAAAACCAAACTGTTCCACAACCTACGGGATGTAAAGCTTAACCTCCACTAAGGCATTTGCAACCGTAGCGGTAGACTAAAATTAGCCCGTAAGCATTAGGTGGTGAATACTGGTTTGTGGGAAGAGCAAGATGAAAAAGCAGCAGGCACGCAGCTCAGTTTGTGTTGTTCTTGAAATGGGCTTTGAATCCAAACTCGTAAGTATAAGGAAATTCCTAGCCAGGTTTGCATTTCTCTAGTTAGTACCATTTCAAAACAGTATTCCAAACAGGAATTGAGATGCATCCTTTTAGTGAATATATACACTATTTTTTTTTAAATAAAAGGAAGTGTATTAGATACAGTTTGACTAGAGCAATCATGGGAAATCTGACAGGCACGTGCATAGAGAAATTGCTTCATCTCGGGATCCGGAGGTGCTCTGTACGTGGGGCTTCGTGTTCCTGGCGTAGCTGGCGCTGTCAGAGCCTTCCAGTGCCGCTACCTGGCCTCTCCTCAGGCAGCGACAGAATATCCAGCACACCTGTAACGTGAGGATCTATTTCTCCAGGCTTATTCTAGTAGTAATACACCTACTGTAAACATGCACTGCCAAGCCAGAGCTGTGTTAGACTGGTGTCACCACTTCCATTTTCCTTCATCTGCAGCCCGAGGTGCGATTTGCTCATCGCGATGGCGTTTGTTCCAGGCTGTTGACAACTTCCTGATCCGTTACAAAAAGCGATGGGAATGCTGACGTCTTCCCCACATGCTGGTCTGATGGTGACAGTATAAGTAATAAGCTAACTAGCTCAGCAGGCTTTTCTAATCACTTTGGAAAGGACGAACCACACATCCTTGTAATGGTACCGTTAATTTTTACTAATGTGGAGGTTTAAGACAGAAATGAAATTCCTTGTTCAAAGTTACAGAGAATTAGTAGGAAGAGAGATGTAGAATCTAAGAGGTTCTGCCTTCTAGTGTCGTGCTGATATCATTAATATAATCTTTGTCTAGAAATAGGTGATGAACAACAAAAGGAAGAATTCTTAGCAGAAAGATGGGAATAAAAAACACGGGAGGAAAGACTAGAGATGACTGAAAAGAAACCCGAGGAAAATGAGACAAAAGACGACATGAAGAATGAAACAATGGACAACACTGACCATCAAGAGAGGCAAGTGCTAATGGATAATCCAGAACCATACTCCTCCATAACCCTCTTACTCCTTACTGCCTTGATGATTAGGGTTCACAAATCAGAAGGTAAGAGGAAACAATTACTGGGGAAGAAAGAATAAGGACAGTTGTTCAGGATAGTAGTTGTTCCATGAAGGGTCCTGAGTGAGGGACCAGTGCCATCGCACCTTCTGGGTTTTTCTCCATGGCCAATTTATTCCATTGTTGTGACACTTAATAAATGGTTTGAGGGGCAAACCCCAATGCTTTAATTTACCTTTGCTTTTCTGAAGTGTTTTTCTGCCTAGCATCAATCATTATGTTATTCAAACATTCTTCATGGTAGAGATTCTTTATCTGCTTGGACATAGTCTCTGGTGCATATTCATTATTATCCTCTGTACTGTTTTATCAAGTTGGTATCGATGACATGGATTAAACCTTGTTGAAACAATCCACTATAGAAATCCAGTGCAAGACTTTGGGTTTTATGTTTTGTTTGTTTGTTTGTTTGTTTATTTGTAGGTTGGGGTTTTTTTTGAGAATGATCACTCCAGCAAAAAAAGAGATTTTGGCTAGTAGGTATTCTCAGGATAGTTTCCAGGGCAGCTTCTATCAACAAACTTCACAGCCTTAAGAACTTAACTGTACATGGCCAAGATACGGAAGGCAACATAGATTAGTATTCACAATGATAAATTTCTAGAGAGACTACGTATTTGGTGGAGATGCATGTTGGCACTGCTACAGCAAAAAAACACGTAACACTGTGGGTATGGCTATTAGTAAGAAAGCAGGAATTTGTAAAAATTCTAAAAAGCCCTGTTGCCTAGGATTTTCATATAGTCAAGAAGCTTATAAAATAAACAAGATGATAATTATTTAGAAAATAAAACTATAAATACCAGGTGTACACTGTCCCTTTACAGCTGCTGACCAGAAATAAAGAAGATAAAAATGTCACAACAGCCTTGATTTCTCAAAACACACATCTCATCTCTCACATTGCACACACTAACCCACCCACAAAATGTTTTATCAGTTCTCATCTTTGAAGGGACAATTTTATTTCTTTTCTGCCTGTAATAGGTAAGTAAATGACAAGCTAAACACTTGTACAGGTTGTTAAAAGTACTATGGCTTACATCAGCATAATTTATGGGGAGAGTGTAATAGGAAGGAGAGTTTACTATTATGAAATAATTAAGACGCAGCATGGGTTAGTATTATTTGTTTCCAATAAATAAGTTATCACTGATAGGTAAAATGTCTAATAATGTAGTCAGTATAAAATGGAGGGGGGAGATGGACCAGCCAAAACCTGAGGCTTGTACAGTTTCTATGGCACGGCACTTGTATGAGGTATCAGAAATGAAAAAGTAGATGCATCATAAGCAAAAGGCGAAATAGAGCTAAGGCTCGCCTTGGGTCTGCAGCAGTAATTCAGCATGTTTTACAAACATTTTTTATATTGCTTTGTAAAAAATTCAGTAAAAGTACCTGAAAACGGCAGTGGAGGATTTTTTGTGTAGCTCAGAAATGAAACCATGTAACTTGTGAGTGAAATGAGTGATCAAACATGTCTAACTAACTGGAGACGGTTTCAGGAACAAGCTGAGCTGTTTTGCATCAGTACACAAAACGAAAGCCAGCGAGTGTCACTAATGGGTATGTGATGATGGAGGTACAAAACAAGGTCAGGAGAAAGCTATTAAGTTTTGCCTCGATTTTCTCCTGGGCAGTGTTTACCATAGTGCAATCTCAAAACAGCTGAAGAACAAAGTCATTAATTTCGGCATTCTAGGACAGAAAGGACAATGGATAAGGATAATGCGAAGGATAATGCAGTTCTTCATTTGCAAGGAGTTAATATATGTGACAGAAAAGCCCCCAACATAACAGATTTTAATATAAAGCAATTTCTTACTTATAAATTTGGTTCATCTGCAGAGAAGCAAACATAATGAGAAAAATGTAACGTTCAGTGGAGAAAATCCTCATGCTAAATTTTTAGTAAGTCTGTGTGACCTTCTGTACATGAGTTTTGGGGTTCCTGCCTGCCCTTCCCACTTGTTTAAACAACAACCACCCCCTCTAGGTATATCACAGTGAAAAATACAGACCTTATTCTCAACTGGGCTGCGGTACCGTGCCGTTGAAAACCAGAGGACTTGCTGCAGAAGAGCCAGGGGCAATTCCCAGCAGAAGCCCCCGGGGAGGCCATCGCTGCCCCTCCGGGGGCCGCGGCTCTGCCCTGCCCTCGCGCTGAGGCCCAGGCGAAGCCCATCTGCAAGGCTGTAACTTCAGAGAATCCTTGGAGCTCTTGTTCAGAGCGCGCTCCTAGCTCTCTCTTAAATAGATTACTGTTGTTATATTCATACTGGTGGATAGAAGAATCTAGAAATAGTCTAGCAAAGACTGAATAGGAAGATACTGGTAGAAGTTTAAGGAAAAGGGGAAATCTTTTGCTGTAGGCTGATTAGAAAGACTGATCTCTAAAGTGCTTCTGTTGATTAATTAGTATTTTAGCCTGAACATGTTCCTAAATACATTTCTGAGTTTAAGAGACAAAAAGAGACCATATAAAAGACACTAAAAGCAGTGAAGTGCATAGGCTTTTCCAGTCCACCCAGTCATGACTTCAACTTCTAACACAACTCAAAGAGTCCCAATTACTCTGTCCCGTTTCTGAATAAACCTTGCCATGCATCTGCTGTTAGGCGGAGCACAAAGCACCACTAATACGTTACCAAAAGTCAGTACTTGCTCTTCTAAGCATCACTTACAGTGCATTCCACCTAGCCTGACTTCCAAATTCCTCTTACAGTTTGTAATAATTACTTCAAGCAGTAAACTCCTTGAAAAGGCAAGAGATAAATTAGTTCCAGTGCATTAAATGTGTTAACTATTAAGCATGTTTAACATGTATAGGGTCATATGTGTGTGAAATTAACAGGTCAAAATCAATTCTATGTCATGTTGGCTCCCAAGCCTTTCTCTTACCACGTTCTGTGCGCTACTCACCTGTTGATACTTGCTTGTTTTGAACAGATTATTTTTTTACAACAGACAAATCTAAACCCCTCAGAGGCCTACCGTACAAGTGAAATGAGCTTTAACCACACTGGCAGTTCTGATACACGAATTTAATTTTTAGGTCATTCATCATTCATTACTACCTGCTACAGAAAAGAGAGGCCAGATTCAGTTCCCATTATCATAAAGCAAGAACACCAGATTAGGCAGCTTCAGTTATTTAAAACATAGTCATTTCCTTACAGGAGGCAAGCTTTATTAATTTCTGTCCGATACACTGTTTTCAGTGAATTTTGTAGGAGGACATACAGCCACTTTTAACAACCTGAAACCCCATCACGTACCATGAAGTCGTTTGTTGCAGCTTCTGTTAATGGATTAAAGTATTTAAAACAAATTAAATCATTAGTACACCGGTTTTGTGGTGTAAACAGTTTAATGAATACATAAAGCACATATAAAGCAAAAGATTAAAACGAAATTGTTACAACCACCATAAACTATATAAAAAAGTTTGTTTTACAAGCATGTTGCTTGCACAGCAGGTTTTACAAAACAGTGTATCACGAGCAATACCACTCCCTGAAAACCAAGACTTGGAAATAAAAATCACAGTAAGCATTTACTTAAATCACATCATATACTAGTCAGACTAGCATTGATTTAACTACTTTTCAGAGTCTTCATGGTGCTGTAGTACACACTAAAGCTCGCAAAGAAATGTGAATAGAGTTCAAGTGCAAGAAGAGAAAAGATACCTGGATATATGAATATACCCATGTCATTATTTAAAACCATGGTTCCTAAACTTTTGACTGTGCATGCTTATCCCAACCCTTTCTGCAGATCCCCATTACAGCAGCTGCTTAACTCTGGGGTGGGTTTGGAACTGCTGTTTCAGAAATGCTGATCCTAAATCCCAGGTTCTGCTCAACATGAGAAGAACTTCAGCCCAGTCCTCCTCATACTTTGTCTGTAGGAAGGGGAAGCTTCATGTCTGCCTACCATACTCCTTGCCCCCAAACACATATATATTGGGAAAGAAATACAGGAGCAAGGCTTCATACGGGCAACAGGAGAACATTACAAGATTGCATACAAAACTGAAGCAAAATATAAACCAAAAACTGATATAATCTTTCACTAAGTCTGGTCTCAGCCTATTATTTACTGTCACTCACAATATTTTGGTTTGTTGCCTGTGTGTCGCAAATGTATTTTAAAGTTTAGTACGTTAATGCATAATGTTAGACCAGGAGATAAAAGCTTTAGTTTCACAATCCAAACTTTAGTAGGGAAAGAAAAATCATAAACAAAGGAATTACAAAAGTGTAAACAACTGCATAAAAGAAATAAAATAGCACTCAGTACATACTGAAGTTGAATACAGCCTAATATCTAGGAGGCACAAGAAAGATTTGATCATTTTAACCAACTTGCTTATATGCTCTACAATTGTTTAGATAAATATTCTATGAAGATTAGAACGGAAATAATTTATAGTTACACTACTGCCTTGCATGCTTTTTAAAATGTCTGCACCGCAGTTTCTGTCTGTCACCCTTTTAAATTCTTCTTTAATACAATTAAATTTAGGCTGTGAACAATAATAGTTTTGTTTGGAATATTCTCCCTTACAATTTTTTCTTAGAAGTACAACATTCAAGCTGGTTTTGATTGAGTTTCAGTTAGCCAAAATCTTGATGGATCAGGGGTTGGGGGATGCACTGGCTACCCCTTGGAGGAGAAGGGGTATTTCTGTGAATTCCAGTATTTCTATTTTTATTTATCCCCATGGGACTCCCATGCACTCCTAATTTAACTTCAGAATTCCAGGGTAAGGGAGAACCCGCTCCACAGGAGAAAAGGAGGCCATGGAACAGTCCCCACTTTGTTCTTACCCCACCTTTCTGTACACAATAGTGAATATTATTCATTAATGTACTTTTCAGCTGTGGATGCAAGATGAAAATGCCTCCACAAAGAATTTATAATGTGTTTTGCTTGAATGTCAGCCCTAAATCTGTACAAAGAACAAGTGTTGTCTTTGCATTCCAGTGCTTGCTGGTGTGGGTAGTTGAGATACACGCTCCCGCTAGGGCTCAGGCTGGCTGAAAAGGGAAGATTGCAAGAAAGGCAGCTGCAGAATTGCTTTGAAATGCTTCAAAAATTAACCAGGAACAAGTGCAAGCAAATAAACAGTGCAGCTCTCTGAACTTTTCGATTTCAAGCCTTTGAAATTCATCCTTTAAGGTGCTTTTCCTGTGGAGTCTGGAAAACTGCCAACAGACTTTATTCTGCTTCAGCTCATCCATGAACCTTCATCATCTCTCAGAACTCTGACAGTCTACAGAATTCAGCAAGTGACAACTCCTCAGGTTTTAAGCACAAATAAGACTATTAGCCATCTAGATTTCCTCTGTATTCACATGTATAAGTAAATGACACCATGAGTCTTCCTTGATACAAGAAACCAAAAGGTATTAATTCAAAGGCTAAATAAGTAATAGTCAAAACAACTGTCTGTGCCACTTGCTCAATATTTTCCGCACTGAAACCCTGCTACAGTAGAGCTTCCTGGACATGTTTTCATCCATCAACTATTATCATTGTGTGAAATAGTGCTAGAGATGCATTGGCACTGGAAGTCCCAATGTGACTGACTTTTGCCAAGATAAAACTTCTCTGTGCTTCCAGCTGAGATCTGCAAGTCAGGAGTCTGTAACATTAGATATAGTTCTTAAAAAATACTTCTGCTAGGTAAAAAAAAAAAATCTATGATTCTGTACTGTTTTGCAGACATTTAAGTGCTTCAAAATAGTTTACTGAACAGCAAGAGAGATCAGACAGATGATATCCTGTCCCCTCACACATAATTACGCAGAGATCT